CTGTCACAGTTCTCAGTTTTTAATTGTTGCGACGGCGGATGGTCCGAGCACCATCGCGTCGTTTCGAAAATGGCTAGTCGCAAGCGCAATGCAACATTAGAAGAATTTATAGGAAGTTGTAAGTCGGAACCTTGTCTTTGGCGTAAAGTGCAAAGAATACCAGAGATTGATAACTAAGATCAAGGAATTAGTGCCCATAGCTACGAAAGAAGATGTGATTAAAAAAAATATTCCATTCACAGTACTTAATAGGCGTTCTACACACACCGTCACGTAGCTCAACTGAGAGTAATGGAAAACTGTACATGCAAACCCTAACGTGTATGTGTAATATGAAACTCGGTTATGCATGTACATGCATAACCATCATGCAAAACCTAGTGTGTATGGCCTCCATAAGTTCGGTAGTGACGTCGAGTACTGGTCGCGTGATTGGTCGGTAATGCAGTGACGCGGATCTCGCCGTCTCGTGCGCGCTGCCGTTGAAACTTAACGTGCTGTTTCGTTCGGGTTGGTAATGCAGTGAGTGACGCGGATCTCGCCGTCCCGTTCGCGCTGCCGTGGGATCAGTTTTTGTTTGATGCAAGTATGAGCGTACCGTATCTACCCTTTTTGTTTTAATCTAAGCTACCGAATAAGATTCAACAAACAGCAATTTTTATGAAAAAAAAATGGTTGCCTGTAAAGTCGGTTTTACGGGCGAAGATTTTACGTGACAACGTCTTTTTCTCGGTAAAATATTTATTGATATGAATATAATTAAATTGCACAATAGGAACAAGGAATTGAATGAAAATAAGAATTGCACAAATTTTAACTATAGAAATATATTTTGTTTACTAAAACATTGTACATGTAAACTTAAACTTAACACGAGAGACTCATCGTAACGTTACCGAGCGTTACACTTTTTCATAAGTGACTCCCAGCCGCAACCTAATTTAAGACGTTGTCACGTCATGCCGCTCGGTTATGCATGCGCGCGAGCATAACCGAGCGTGTGTGGCGTCCGGCGAACTTGCCTGTCACAGTTCTCAGTTTTTAATTGTTGCGACGGCGGATGGTCCGAGCACCATCGCGTCGTTTCGAAAATGGCTAGTCGCAAGCGCAATGCAACATTAGAAGAATTTATAGGAAGTTGTAAGTCGGAACCTTGTCTTTGGCGTAAAGTGCAAAGAATACCAGAGATTGATAACTAAGACCAAGGAATTAGTGCCCATAGCTACGAAAGAAGATGTGATTAAAAAAAATATTCCATTCACAGTACTTAATAGGCGTTCTACACACACCGTCACGTAGCTCAACTGAGAGTAATGGAAAACTGTACATGCAAACCCTAACGTGTATGTGTAATATGAAACTCGGTTATGCATGCACGGCCAAAACCATCATGCAAAATTTCGTGTGTATGGCCATTATTAGATTAAAACAAAAAGGGAAGATATGGCATTCGCGGCTCAAAATTGATCCGCTTAAATTGTGGTTCACGACCATAATTCGCTTTAGTCACAATTTGACATTCAAACACGCTGCATCTACACTCAATATAACAATATTGCGTATATTCTGTGTTATGAAGATTTAACAATGCCTGCGATGCTTTTATAAAGAACACAAAAAGTTCAAAATCAAATGCCCCGGCAACACTTTTCATTCGTAAAACTCTGAAACATTTTTTTCCCAAAAATCACGGTTTGTCGTGAATATTATTTACAACTTTTAGGAAGAAAAGTCAACAATACGCTGCTTCAAAGCGTATAGTTCTGTCTCGCTCGCTCGATTGATGTTTATATGTGCAACGTGCAGACGTGTGTGTGGCGAGAGTTGCTTATGTAGTTGAGTCGGATCATATTTTATTTGATGCTAGTATTAGCGTACCGTATCTACCCTTTTTGTTTTAATCTAATTACCTGCGATCCATTAGGGTCGCAGTGTATAACGCTCATGTGTTTTGTGTGATACTTGTGAGTTAAGAATAATTTGAAGTCGGAACTGATATTGAATTATTTGAAGTTAAGATACAATTTGCATTAATGGAATTACATTGACAGTCGAATTCCTTATTAAACTCAATAGAGGAAGATTTGTGGTGACGTCTCCTCTTTTTATTGCAATGTTCGCATATTTTTTTGAGGATGCCATTGACGATCTCTTTCGCTTATTAGAAATTTTAGTAGGTTCAGAAAAATCCGTGTCCACATCAGATTCTTCTGTTTCCATACCAGTCTGGTAAAAAAGTCGACCTCCTAGTTTGCCGTTTCCCGCGCTTTTTTTCAAAACGTTTTTTTTCTAAATGGTTTAGCACGCCATGGGCATTTAGCCAATGTGAAGTGTTAAAAATGTTCACAAATTCTATAGCACTCGTGGTCAAAGTAGTAAATCAAGTCAAAGTAAGTGGCAGTCAAGTCAATCCCCCTTTCCCTATGTTTCAGTAAATGGGTGGGGATTTGCTGGAACCTCCCCGTGGACACCTTCAGGGAACGTCGGAAGACACTTTCCGCTATTTTGTTTCACTTGCCAACACTTGTGCATGTTTTCGAACACTTAGTGGTTAATAATCCACCATTATTAGACACTAACATCAGCCAACAACACAATTTTTTAACAAGAAAAACAAAACTGCTAAGGTGATGCTTCCCGATCCCTCCAAAAAGTCTCAAAACGAATTATCTTATAGTCCAGTGTTACCAACCCTTACCAAAATTTTACCCTAAGTATTTTTTAAATTCCCCTAAAGTCCCCTAAATATAGAAAATTATATTTATTTATTTATTATCATAGGGCAGCTAACAGCTTATGAAAATAAAGATAACAGCAAAAAATATTACTAAAAGCTATTGACAAGCTACCACTTATAGAACCTACTTATCTTATTACCTAAATTCTTTCGTTGCTCATAAATTAAAACGTTACATATTCTGTTACAGTTAATTATTTTATTGAATAAATACATTTCTGAATGGAAAATCAAACGAAAATGAGCTGACAGGCGGTTAAATCTTATTTAGCTGTTTTGATTGGTGGAAGGCAAAGAACTTTAGTCCATACAGCCTTAGGAAACAACCTGCCACACAGTGAGTTCAGTCGTTTCATATCGTGCTGCGTTCCATTCTACGCACATAACTGAAAGAAAACACACGCTTTGTTTTTCGATTTAATTGAAAGTTTTGTTAAAAGCCCCTAAAAGAACCCCCAAAAAATTCCAGCCCCTAAAAAAGTCACTTTTTACACTTCTAGCCCCTAAATCTGGGGGCAAAACCCCTAAGTTGGGAACCCTGTTATAGTTTGTCCATTAAATTATCTTTTTGATAGAGCGATCAAAGTAAAAATAGTGACACCCTATCATATAACTCGTTCGATTTAAAGCTATAATTGATTTTATGCTAGAACATTGTTTAATCGATTATAAGTATCGAAATTATTTTAGTAATCAAAAATACTGGTGTTTAATAAATTATTAGAAAATCTCATTAGATTTATTATTTTACCTAGTAAAAATATTTGTGTGATGAGCATGAGTATTTGTACTGTGTCTGGGTGTGATTTATCTATAATATGTGTAAATATATAACAAAAAGCAGTATACTTTTTATATTTTTGTTTATCGTAATACTCTGTACAATTAGATTTATTGATTATAATTAATAATTTCATTAAAAAAAAGGTTTATCAAAAACTATATCTTTCGACTTTTTACGTTTAAATATTTTTGAGTGTTGGCAGCACCATGTTGTGGTGGTGTATTGCGCCATTTTGAAGTCAATTGTTCACTGATCTTGCGACTGTTGCAACGTAATTCTTCTTTTCGAACATTTTTATCAAACGTTGAGTAGTCTTTTGCGGACTATCAACCTCCTTTTCTTACTTTTTTTATAACGCGTTTAAAGTGAAGTTTAATTGTAAAATAATTTTGTTCTTTTTTTCTGTCTGTCAATAAAAATCGTTTGGAAAATTTGCCTACGTATTTTTCTCTCGTGAAATATTTAATTATTTTCACAAGTCATATAGTATTGATTTGTGACTTTGTATTGAGCAAACCGTTATTCCGTAAGCTCTGAATATGTGCCGATTAATTGTAGTCTGTGGCATAATCTTAGTAATCATTATGTGTGGCACATCACTAAGTGGGCGGTACTTGTCCATGAAGTACAATATTATTTGTATGACATTTTAACGTAAACAATACGAAATTTCATGGGCGTCGATCTGTCAAAAAGATAATAATATAATGGACAGACTTATAGTAATCTGTGAAACGAACTGTCAAATCCATAGATTATATGAGGCATGACGACACCTCAGTGCTCGGCACAAAGAGGGATAGGTACCACGCGATGATGGGTATGCGTTAAGCGACGAGGGGGTGAAGAGCTGTCAAAATCGATATGAGAGATTGTGAGTCTTAAAGTCCATCTAGAAAAACAATGTTTGAAGATTGTACTCCGTGATTAGAGGTTTTGGCGGGATTCTTTAATTTGTTCATAGTGGATATTGGTGTCGATTCTGGCGTGATTCTCTAAACTTAAAATTAAATTTAACATCAGTCTCTCCTCTTCATTCTGTACAGAGAATGACAAGGATATATTGCTGTCAAATTTAAGTTTAGGTTTAGAAAGTCATGCTAGAATCGACACCATTGTGTATTAAAATTGGTGTGATTTGTGTTTCTACCGTCTGTTAAAATATACATTATTCCGGTCAAGTAGACGAGAGAATGTGGTGAGTGTTGACTACCTCACAGAAGCTTATCGAGAAAGCTGACTCTATACATTTCGTGCCAAATATTCACAGAAGCATTAGGAAAAAGAATATTAATACTTAAGACTAGGCTGCATAGGCATTATTTCCTATGCCTTCTCTAAAAAGGGAGAACGTAAAAAAGAATATATAATAATTTATGGCAGGGCTACGTTCCAAATCTACGTTCTAAGTGCAACTTTTCTGACGATGACGTTCCAATTTTGACTTAAATGATTGAAGCTGATGTCAAATTTGACATTTGTTGCACCTGGCGCGTAGGTTTGGAACGTAGCATATAAGATAACAATAATCAGTAAACGTAAGATAAAAAGTTTTAAAGAAGTTTGTAAAGTAATTATCCAAGTCATTTAACTACGAAACGTGAAAATGAAATGTAGTATTTTCATTCCGTCGTTAATAATAAGCTTTCTTTTGCTGGACAATGTGATGAGTAAGTATGAAACTTATTTTTGACGCGGACAGTATTTCAAGGTAAAGAGAGAGTAGTTCTTGTAAACTCAACAATGGTCGAATGTCTGAACTTAAGAAGTGGAATTTAAATTTAATGTACATTTTATGTATTTGGTAGGCATAAATTTATATAAGATGTTAAGTTTATTGACTACATTGAATTATTCTATTGTTCAACAAAGTTATATTGTTACTGAGTATTCGTAGGGATTCTTTTTATTAAGTGAATTCAAATTACTCTGTAATACCTGGTTTACTGAATTTAGGAGTTGTGTAATGGTTTACAGAGCTCTTATAATACATTTTAATAATTATACTGGTTTTAATTGTAATGTAATGCCAATCATTCCAGCTTTCCGTCATATCTACTTTCTATGAAACTTAAAAAAATAACTGAGATTATGTATCCAGAATTCTGTGTAAAAGAAATATATTATCTATTTTTAAATTCCAATATCTTGGCAAGTCGCAACCGCAAGACAAATGTTTACTTCATTGTATGTGTTGAGAATTTTAACTTTCACTGTGTGACTTGTTGACTTCCTGTCAACTTTCAAAACTACCATGATTATTGAGACATTTGTTTCTTTTGCAGGTTTACACAAGCGATGTATACGATGTCGGTCACGTGGTGAATTGGGGACATGTGGAGATCCATTTCCATTTAATGTCACAGAACCTGATGCTGAAGTTGGTATCCATGTTGTGGCTTGCCCTTCAGGGTGGTGTGGAAAACTTATTGAAGGAACAACTGGTGCTTTCCGATCAGATGGTAAGGATTTTTTCAAAGTTGATTAGCACTGAACAAAAGTAAAATCTTAATAATGTCATACAGCTATGCATGACAGTCGTTGTATATTTTCTTTCATAAGGTACAAGATCTGATTGAGAAAGTATATAAGAAAGAAAAATAAACATTAACACAGCAAGCAAAGGACAATGGCGAAATATTTGTTGAAGTAAATCTTTAGCGTCTATAGATGTCATTACCAGAAATGTTAATAAAATAATCTCAAAAGATTTATTAAACAATTCAGGAGGGTTGTCTAAGTCTGGAATTAAAAACTTAAAAAAGGGAAACACAACTGACTATTTATTTTTTATTTTTATTGTGGCTTGGCATCATGGCTTTTGAGCCATTTATTTTAACTGATTTTAATGATGAAATCAACTTTAAATATGTTGTCCGTATTTTTTGCATCGCTTTACGCTTAAACTGTATTTAATTATCTATCAAAAATATCGGGCAACATTATTTTTCAATATTATACTGAAACCATAATAAATAATCTCCACAATACAAAAAGGGTATGGCGACAATTCTAACGCAAAAAACTATAACTGTCACTGTCATGCTTGTCATCGAATTGTTGTTGATATTGATAACATTATCGTTGCTTGTGCATAAGTGCATGCGTATTGCAATGATTTAAATCAGCGCAGTGTTTTTTTTGTGATTTGTGTTTTTATGTGACTTGGACTGCATTTGGACTCTCGAAATCTTCCCTGCGACTGTTGAGTAGTGCTTGCCTAAGACTTCCGAATCTTATATTTCGCACGACTTCTTGCTGTGGATTTTGGACACGATTCCGTCCCATACTGTGGATTTTATTTTATTATATTGTACTATCTAGGATATTGTGATCAAAGATATGGAATAAAAAATATATAAAAAAAGTATTTCATATTTAATTAATATCCCATCAGTACACTATTAGAAATACTTTTTTTACTTTATTATTGTTGTGGTCATTTTCAAATTGTTAAGTACTTCTTACAGCATAGACATTGTATTCGAACTAAATAACCCTGGTTTGTTTAGTATTATAAGGTATTTTGACGCGCTGGGTCAGTAAGTACCTACGCCCACTGATCATACATTATAAAAACCATTTTTTTGGTCACTAATCTACGGGAACCGTATACTTTTATAGTTACGTTCACGTATTTTTTATTTTGATATAAAAATACTCTTGTAAATACTTTAATGATTCGTTTTTGTATTACTTGGTATGACATAACCTCCAAAACTTCAAAGTAGAATATCTATAAATCCAGACTTTCTATAATAATAGAAATAAGACGAATCAAATCGAGAATCTTAACTCTATAATTTAAGATGCAATTCATTTATAGACGCAAAAAAAAATTTCAACAAAAATTTGTATGGGAGTTCGCCATTGTCCTTTATTGCACACCAATAGATGTACTTGTTGTATTAATGAATTAATAAAAAAATACACTTAGTATGGGTGCCTCTATAAAATATATCTTATTCTTAGATTATGGTGCTGCAACCCAAAGGATGTGCTTGCAGAGGCCTCCGAGTGACTATGAAGAAAGGTGTGCATACACAATGTGGAATCACAAGAAAGTTTATATGTGTTTCTGCAATGGTGATCTCTGCAATGCTGCCTTTAGAATCTCAAAGTTTCCTATAACTCTCATAATATCAATACTTCTAAGTCTCTATAACTTTTTATAGTGAATTTATGTTATTAATAACAAAACAACCTAAAAGTTCTTAAACAATGAAGTATTATATGTATAGACTTGAGCTCAAAGAGTTTAATAAATATAAATCTGATTCATTTTAAAAAGATACCAAATGTGAGTCATACTTTTTGTGCCTATAATAAAATTCCATCTTTGTTGTGACTGAATAATGCAATAATATAAATTATTTTTATATATTTACAATTTTAGCCTCTTAAGATTTTAATGAATATCCTTTTCAATATTGTTTTTGAATAGGTACTAGCTTTTGTATTAAAAAATCCAAATTAATTATTAACAATAATATATATTTTCTTACATACCATTGTTCTGTGTATTTGTGGTTAAAAAACCTAACATACCTACATGTTGTATGTTGGTCTTTTGATATATTTGTCTCAAACAGAGGCCTGTCGTAAATATTTCCTTCTGCTTTATCAGCTTAGACATAAAGTTAGACAATATTAGCATCCAGATTATGATATTACTAATTGTTTATACATGTAATGTTTCCTAAGTTACCTGTAAAAATATATTTATGTATAACTTTATGATAAAATTGGAAGTGTTAATCTCAAATAAGCTAAACAACTGTGATTTTAATGTTCTTTTCTATGCAGCTAAATTGTACTTAAAACTATAACTACTTGTGATATTTTCTCTCTTTTTTTAAATGAGAATAGGAATGAATTGACTAGGTTCTAGTTTTATAAGTATTTTTAGATATTCCATACTTACATAATTATTCACCCACAGTACTTACGTATTCAAGTTCTGTCTACTCACCAATCAAATATAATGAAGTTAGGCTCATTCAGGAAAATTCTCAGTTGCATAAAAAAATATATCATAAATTTCTAGTAATTTCCTAATTAGACACCTAATTTTTAATATTACAATTGAGTATCCAGTACAGTAACATAATAAATGTTAATGTAATGAAATATGGTTACCAACCCTATTCTAAAACTGTTTATTTTTAAGGCAATTTATTTTTGTTCTTTTCTCTATTTTGCTAATAAAATTTAAAAAAGCTTTGCAATGTGAAATTCTTATGTATAAAAAAATCTTCATCATTAAACATTCTCATAAAATTTTATCAATGTTCATATATTTTAAGTACAACTATTTTTGTATGACTTTTTTACATTCCAATAAGATTAAAGAAGAATGTTGTGGGTAAGTGAAAAAATTAAACAACAATTGAATGTATCCACCTCATGTATTCACATTTTTATTGCTAGTAAAGTAACAATTATGACTTTTACGAATATTTTTACATTATTTTGTATATAAATATATAAATTTACTGTTGTGATGTTGCATGTTCTTATTTTTACTGCTACGGTCGGTTATAAGGCCACGTATGACGTATGCTGCCGAGGCGATGGGGTTTGAGTTTATTCTGTATTCTCAGTTCTTGATTTTCAAGTAGGGACTCGATGTGAGGGATCTCGTGGAAGTAAAGGTGGCCATGGCTATTGGCCTTTGCAACAGCTGCTATCGCTTCGGAACCTTCAAGCAAATAGGGGTCGAGTGGATCACTTGCGGTATCTGAAATAAATATATATATATATCTTAATATATATAAATCTCGTGTCACAATGTTTGTCCTCAATGGACTCCTAAACCACTGAACCGATTATAATAAAATTCGCACACCATGTGCAGTTCGATCCAACTTGAGAGATAGGATAGTTTAAATCTCAAATTATAGTCGCAATTTTAATTTATTGCAAATTATTACTTTTGGGCGGTACGAAGTTCGCCGAGTCAGCTAGTATATATATATATTGCAATTTAATAAACAGGCTGTGTTGCTCTTTATATAAACTTCATTTATTGCTATTCATGAAGATAACACAATATTCTAATACTCGTGTAAAGTGATAGTATAGAATAACAAGTACATAACGTGATCGATTACAATATTTAGAAGTGAAATGAAAGTAATGTGAATGGGAAACGATATCTTGAGAACCATAATCAGCGATAAACTCGTTTTCCAATATGGCGGCCCGGGTGCGTGACCACCCTACATTCCCCGATTTTTAAACGTAAGCTTCTTACTACCTACCCTAAAATCTGCAAAAAAAACTAGTGTGGTAACATTTCGTTATATGGTTTTACTCTATTGCTTGGGTTATATACCTATGCCGCTAAAAATACTATTGTTTATTTGATTATTCCGAACTTGAATCGAAATCAATGAGGAACAAATTCGTACCTATATTACGAATGTAACCCTCTTCCTTGAACTACATAAGTACATTTATCATCTCATATCAGCCGCCAAAATGGTTACTTCCAGAGTTTTAAAATTTCTCAAGTTTCTGACAGTATCCTATCCGGATCAGGTTTGGAATAATCGCCTAAAAGTGCGGGCTGAGGCTGTACGCATCCACTGCACCACGTCACTGAAGATGAGCAAATATATAGTGGTGGTCACATAATTAAAGACACTCCCAATTGACCACAAACTTACTTATGGTACTAAAAATTAGCTAAAATTGGTATTTGATCTAGTTTAATTGTTATTAAACCATACACGACTTTGTATTATTACAATGTGGGACAAAAAATAGTTGTGTTCGTTAGTAGTTTAGACATTGCTCACTATGGGAACGTAACACATTTTTTTTAACGTATTTATAGTTGGCCAGCTAATTAACGACACTCGATTTGCTTAGAAGAAATAGAAAAAAATATTGTTATTATTGAAATTATCTTTATTACACAATATTCCGAACATATTTATAAAACTTTCCGGTACGTATCAATATTTGGTCGCATGTCCTTTGGCAGAAATGACAGCACGACATCTCTTGGGCATGGAAGCGATCAATATTTTACAAGTTTCCACCGGAATTTGCTTGTAAGCTTCTTTAAAAGCTGTGTAAAGTTGATCGATGTTTGATGTCTGTTTTGTCGCCCGTTATCCATGTTGCCTTCTATTTTCCTGACAGGTCCAACACCAAGTCCTGAGAAACAGTCCCAAACTTTGGTATTTCCGCCCCCCATGTTTAACTACTTTCTTGGTATACTTTGGATACATTTCTTTGTTTGGGGGGCGTCTAACATATTGTTTTTCGTCAGATTTAATCATATTAATTTTTGTTTTATCAGAGAAAAGCACATGTTTTCATTCTCGTCAAGTGTACATTTTTATTATTCAAAAGTGGTACCTTCCGAGACACTCTTCCGTACAAGTTTGCCTCACATATTCTCCGTCTAATTGTTCTTGCAGACAACCCTTCCACACTCCTGTACCAAACAACTCCAAACGTATCAGTTCTGATCCCTTGAACGGATCTTTTTTGCCAAGAACACCATCTAAGAGTCTTCCCGTAGAGTAGTTTTTCTTGGTACGATTTCGGTCGTGTTGAACTTCTTGAAAAGTTTTATAGCATTCATAACCAATGTCTTTAGAACAGTTCAAGTGGTTTGCTATTTTTCTGTATGACCAATCTTTATTATGAAAGTTGAAAATAATCTTACTAGGGGATGAATCGCAACTCTTGTTTTTTCCTATATTGCTGGGTTTAAAACGTATTAATTTTAATTAAAAAGTTGGGTTTTATATGTAATTTCAACGTTTCATGAAAATACGCGGCAAAACAAAGAATTGCAGTTTTTTCTTTAATTTTTAAATTCAGAACAGCTTTTACTGTCTTTAATTAGCTAGCCAGCTACAAGTACGTCTAAAAAGTTCGTGTTATGTTCCCATAGTAAGTAGTGTCTAACTAGGTACTAACGAACACAACTATTTTTTGTCCTACATTGTAAGAATACAACGTCGTGTATAGTTTAATAATAATTACACTAGATTAAATACCAATTTGAGCTAATTTTAGTACCATAGGTAAGTTTTTTGTGGTCAATTAGGGAATGTCTTTAATTATGTGACCCCCACTGTATAAAAAACCGGCAAGTGAGAGTCGGATTCGGCCACCGAGGCTTCCGTACAAATTTATAGGTACGCAACATAAACAGCCGCATCTCTGTTTAAATTAACTTGGAAGTTTATTTTTTTCACAACTTAAAGGGACCGGAACCTCCACGTGTTCCCGAGATAAAGGTTCTTGACAGACAGACGGACAACAAAGTGATCCTATAAGGGTTTCGTTTTGAAGTGAAACTTCTTTACGCACGCTTGACTTGGGGGGTCAGCTGGCGAATGCGTTACGCGTTACGAAAAGTGTGTTCGGGCGAGGCGAACGGGAGTTGAGTGGGGGATATAAGCAAGAGAATGCAGTGCGCGCGCACATTTTCTATGTATATGTACTTACATGTGTATATTGTACACATATACATATAAATGGAACTAAAGAAGTTTCACTTCAGTCGTGTGGTAATAAGCACACTCGTTTTTTACTTTTGAGGTACGGAACCCTAAAAATGGTACCTTTTCTTACCTGTATCTGTTCGCGATATGGAATGTTGGAAGCGAGGCGGAGAGATCGGTGGTAGGAACAGGCCCTCCGGCCATAAGGACTCCGGATCCGGCGAGTCCACTTTGTACGGCGAAGGTGGCAGTACAGGTATTGATATGTCTGTAATTTTTTGTAACAATTAGGACACAGTAATTGACTTATCTCTACTAGTTCGGTTGATTCTATTTAATTTGTTTTTTTCGGCTTCGCGGGTTTTTTTTGTATGAAACAAATAAATAATTAATAGTAAGTAAGTTAACTCTAAGTTCTACAGTTAGTGAAATTCATATTGAATACTTACGAATTTTAAGTAATTAGATTTAATTGAATTTAATTTCCATAAAATTTTAATTACAATTATTGAGATAGGTATCTACTGGTGTAAGTTATCTACGTAGTGCCTTTACAAATAGTAAGATTGCGTTGAAATCTTTTATATTACAAACTTGTTGAGTTATGGAGTTTCTCGATTTTTTTTTATTTTACCTGTTATTGCTAATAAAGATTAAGTAAGTACCTACTGTTAGGGTAAATAGGTAGGGGATCTTTTTTAAGGCGTTGTGTTGTCTGTATCACAATACACAAAAAAATGTTTGAAGGTTGATCATTGACAGTTTGTACGGGAACTGATGTCGCCGGCTCGCTCCCACTACACTTTCGCCTAATAGAAAAAAGCCAATCAAACGACGCGACATCAAAAAATCAAACCAATCAGCACTCATACCCGACAACAACGACGTAATCAGAACTAAGTTTTGGTTAAGCTATGAGCATTTGCTCACACATAACTGTGGCGCGCTTATCCCGCCTACAAGGCCCTTCTAACCACAGTATAAGGAGTAGTCAGTCAGTCCTTCGTATAAGGAGGGAATAAGCTGGTTCGCAAAAACCACTTTATTTTTAAGGCTCAGTTATAATAATATTAATAATAGTAGGTAAAATTTATTTGTTGGTAAGGTACCTCATACAAATAAGGCCTATGCTGAAATAAGTCTGTAGTGCAGAAAAGTCTATTTAAATATGTTTATATCAAAAATACATTACACACTCATAGATGACAGTTCTACAACACTGCAAACAGTGCACGAGCGGTCCGCTCCAGCTCATAGCGTCAGTAGTGGTGGTAGTTTGTGAAGGACGAGCTTTTCATAGCGCGTTATTAATTTGTTGTAATCTTTAACGAATTTTAATTCTTTGAAATTTTGTTTCATGTAATGCATAGGGATCACAATATATAACTTTTATGAAGTATAATGTACTAATTAAAGCCTACTTTTATAAAAGGCCTTATTTTTATCAAATATATCTATCAAAATATATTTCTTTTCCAATATTTAACAATATTTATAAGAAGATATGTTATTTTTCTAATTTTTGTTTGTATAGATATGTTTTTTTATTTTATTCTTTGTCTCTTGCTAGTCAGATTTGAAGTCGCATGTTAAATGCGACTTAAAATCTGACTAGCAATTTCAGCAAAATATTTAGTAAAATAAATTCGAATGTTGTTCAATGATCCCATGGAAACACTTGATTAAAAGCTCAGAAATACATATTTTAATATAATTTATACTCTAATGACAATATTCCTATAATTTAACTATCTACATAGGCGTTGTTAAGTCACTCACTATGTTTTTAGAAGGCCTAAGGCTACGTTTGCAGAATTAGCTCTTTTTAAATGATTTCTGATAATACATTGTAATATGTTTTCTCAATTACTTAAATGAACCAAGGAATAATGCCTTGCTTTTATTTATCACCTTCTTCGAATAATTAATCATGATATGAGTGTTTGAAATTAGGTAGGCCTAATTTGTATCACTTACCTTATAATCTATTCATTAACCTTTTTTATATTTCAAGCAGTAGTTCTTGAAAAATATCAATTTAAAAGGTTTTTATTATATCTAAAGAAAATGTTTACAAGAAAGAAAAAGAAGAAGAAAGGCAGAGTTGATTTAACGTTTCAAGTATTGTATTATGCTAACCAGTGGCGGGGCTAGACCACATGTGGACGTCGGCGACATCAAGTTTGCGAGGCCTATTTTACTTCGCAGTAAAAAACCGTTAAATTAAGTGAGCCAAATTATAAAATAACGTATGAGTAAACGAGTTTTATTGTTGATAATCAAATGATGACAAAAAAAAAATTACAAACATAGAAATTTAATTACAAAAATAGTGTTGCCAGACAGACGATTCTGAATACCCGTAAAGTACTACTCGCTTCCATCACGCACGTGTTCGAAAATAATAAAAGTCATTATCATCTGCTTAGCTTTTTCCCCGAATTGTTCGGGGTCGGCTACCTAAGCCAGGCTAGGAGAAACGAAAATAAATAGGTAACTAGTAAAAATTTTTTGCGAGGCCCACCTCAGGCGCGAGGCCGTCGGCGGTGGCCGACGTCGCCGACGCCTAGCGCCGCCACTGATGCTAACTAAGTATCAACTGAAATCGAATTAGTATCCTTCGCTTTTTGTGCAACTGTATTGCCTGTTTGCTACCATCGAATTCCTGAATATCTCATGGTGCATCGTAGCCACATTTTAACTTTACAGGCTACTACAATAATAACAAAAATATTTAATAATCGAAAATAATATTATACATTATGTTTACAATGTGCACCTTATAGTATATAATATTCTCAAATCAATGTGAATCTCAAACTCCCAAATTAGGACATGTCCTGTATCTCAGGAGTCAGTGGCTCCTCCCAGATAAGAAAAACTCAATGGCATTCATCTTTAGAACTTGGATGTTATGATTTTTGTACTGATAGCATTATATTGTTTACTGGCCCATATTGTGCGACACATGATCTGAGGACAAACAGGAGCACCGTGACGTCTTGATGATGTGTCGCGCTCCAGAGGCAGGGAAGAGTGTTTGCGTAGAAGTATACGAAGGATGGATAGCTGCTTAACCGCAATAACCTCGTTCTCCGAATACAGTTTCACCTTCGTATAATTATGTCCTACGTTTACACAATTTAATCTTAAGAACTGCTCGCTGAGCTCGTTTCAATTTAAAAAAAAAGTTTTATTAGATCGTCCCCACACAGAGATGCTGTAGGATAATATTGAATGGCACAATCCAAAGTTAACCGTAAAAAGCGTCGACCGTTCCACGTTCCACAATACCTTCAAAATATTTTTTGCTCTTTCGAATTCTAGCTACTCAAACTCCTGCTTTACCTTTTTTAAGATTTAAGGAGTTACATAATTTGCGATATTTATAATAAGTCGCTTTTAACATTATATTGTCAGGAGAGCACTTTAATTTGAGATGCATAGAGTCGATCCAAGGTTTTATGATTTTGCTTCTTCGTGACACTTTTACAATTGTTTTATTTTTGTCGTTAATAGTTACAGGCACGTAAAAATGACTGTCTTAAATTAAAACTTTTATTACATCACCACATTTATTTTTCGTTAATCTTAAGCATATCGCTTTACATTTTTAATTGTTATTAAAAAAATCAGACTATCAATAAGCATTAATGGTTCAGTGGTAGAAAGCTCGCCTGCTACGCGGACGGCCCGGGTTCGATTGCCAGCAGACGAAGAACTTTTTTATTAATTAATGTAAAAGTTTCACTTGCATCTTAGTTTTATTCACCACACCCAATTTTTTCTTTGTGTCTTCTTACCCATATTATTGTTGTATAGCCAAGGTGCTACGCTCAGAGAGTTGCCACGCGTAATATCTTCGTTATTGAAAGGAATAGCAGGCCTCATGCGTGGGTAACCATTTCCTGGAGGCTGCTCATACATTGGCCCTGACAACACAACATAGTTTTGTTATTACTTATTATCAATTGTAAATTTTTATTCACAATAATCATTATAGGTCCGAATAATCTTTTACAAGCTCAAACTAGCATAGCTTGTAGGTAGGTACTATGATTGCTAGGTAACTATGGTACATGCTTTCAAATACATTAGAATGTACATGTTAGTTAAGAAAGTAAACGTGTTCATCACACAAACATTCTCCCTCCGGGAAGCGGAACTGCTACCAATTATTCTCTTTTAGAATTATGCAAATGTTGGTAAGTTTTGTTCAATGATAAAAGCTTAGCGCATCATTTGAGTTAAAGAGTGTATTCCTATTAAAGACCTAATATTAAGTTGCATATAGGTTGTCGTCACAGAACACAAAATGGTTGTCGTCATGTTTCCCATGCTGGACTGCTGGGAGTAAAGAAAACGATAGATTGAGTTGGTACTAGATGTGTTGCGGTGCAGATAGTGAAAGCCTATCAACGTGTCTGTAAATTGGATTTCCGATCATTGCAGGCGATAAGCTGGTAGGTAATTAACCTATCGCTATGATATTTAATGATGTACATCATAATTCAATATTCAAACCTCATACCGAATGTGGAGCCGTCGATTCTTAAGGTGTGGTTAAGTTTATACACTTTATTCTTAAGTTGCACCTGTGATGTCCAACAATACCAGGTGAAGGTATGTAGGTATGTGTGTGGATGGAGCCCACCTGATGGCAAGCGGCTACCATAGCCTATTTTGCAATACTCTACACTTGCATAGGGATTGGGATCAAACCTTTCACTTAAGTTTTAAGAGTACTCTTATTAGTTCTATCAGTTGGAGGATGCATTAGTTCTACCACTTTTGCAGGGGATTTACCTATGTCATGATATGCATCTAGCAGCGATGGTCCTTACTTCTGAACTTCCTGAATGAATTAGTCTGCGCAGGATTTGACCTCCTGGCGAGTGTGGAGATCGGATCGCCCACCCCGTGCGTGAAGCTCCTGGCAGGCGTGTTGACGCTCACGTGCGATGCGAACTGCGTGCCTGATGCTGACACTTGCGAGCTCCACTGCACGACCCATAGTAAAACGCAAGGCAGGCCTGTGATGTAACCGGTCGATGCTTTCTGAAAAATAAATAACAACTTATTATAATAAAGGAAAACAAAAGTTGTTACTTAGTCTCTTGGTGAAAATCAGCGTCATGGCTGCTGAGCTGGAGGCTATTTTCCTCACGGAACAGAATTTTCTGTTTTGTGATTGTCCTGCTTTAACAGTATTTTTATTACGCATAGAAGATTGTATGTATTATTTTATTTATTCAATCAAAACAATACATTTCATCATAACAGTGGTTGTATCTCAAAACCATTAAAAATGGGTTTATCTGTCTACAGCGATTCGCTCTAACAAATATTTCTTAAGTTTGTGTTTACAATTATCTTAAACATACAATTCTTGAATACTTGGGGGCATTCCAATTAGAATTCCAATTGCATATTAAAGTGTAATACCTAGTTACATTGTTAGTTTTAGGTAGGAGATATTATTTTTTGTAAATAAGGTTACGTAAGTTTTCTGGGCTATGGTAAGACTGTAGATTATGTACACTGTCATGATAAGCTCTGTTAAAAAACAAAACTTGACTTTATCATATACACTCAATACTTTACAATGGTTAAATAAGCCACCATAATTTTCTGTATATTTATTTATATATTTTGGAACAGTGGTATGTAGTGCAACTTAATACAGTTAGCAAAATAAATTTTCTTTCTTTCTTTAATTTTTTACATACAATTCATATTTTCTCTAGTGAATAGGTAAGAACCTGCCTACATTTATGTTTCACATGGATAAAGATGCTTCTTGAGAAGTAAAGTCTGATGTTCCTAAACAAGGTAGTTGGATAAATTTCTTGTCGTGCAGGTCAAACAAACTATAATTGTCAATAAAAAAAATGGGTGCGTGTACTTATGTAGGCGCGTGAGAAGTTATCCTTCTTTGGCATCGTTTAAAATTAGTTTTTAATTGCATGCAAATAATTTATTACAATAAATTAATAAAAAGTCTGGAAAAGGACACAGTCAATAAAGTTCAGTTTTAATTTGAAAAAATAAATAAATAATCAAAATATTCAATTAAAATCGCTACTGAATATAATTTATTAGAACATATGTGATTTGCACTTGTATGAAACTCAAACACGTATTCCGAATATACAAACTAGAAACATGTGGATAAATATTATAAATATGAATACCTATAACTGTTACTTTATTACAAAAAATAAAGATGTGGTGTTTGGTTCTACTACACCAATGGTCAAGAGATGGCGCTGTAGTCTCCTGAATCGCGCTTTGGTTCCGTTGTTCCAGATTAATAAATACTTTTGATAGGCCTTCACAATGCAGTCGTTAGCATCCACAAAATAGAGATTCTATTTCTATTTTGTTGGTAGTTTTTCTTAATGTGCGGTAAACACAAAAGTAACAGCATGAAGTTGGTCGCTTTAGCGACCAACTTCATGCTGTTAATTTTTTGTGTTACAGTGATGCGCGCGCATCTTAAAATTTCACTCTCATCATTTTTTCATAACGCGCCAAAAAAGTATAACTTCAAAAACCCGACGTATCTGTCATACCTCTTAACCGGATTTTTAATATAGCTTTATAGTGACTACGGGAAAATATCAAAATATATCTGAGTAAAAAAATGTTTCTTATTTACAGTCCGGGCACATCTAAGAAAAAGCCACAATGATACTAATTATCTTTCCCATGATCTTATTCCCAGTAAAACCACACGGAGTCTGATAAGAGGACAAAAGCTAGAATTATGTATTGCGCTATGAAGTGGAAACGCCTCCCCAGCTTGTCCTAGTTTCTTTGGGCGAATCTGCCATTCAACGGAAAGTTTGATAAACCACAACTTGTCTGGTAGAAACCTCGTGTTCCGGGTGCTTACTATAATGAACTAATGTTGTAAATGGTAAAGTCAAAAAGTTTATGTAATGTGCAAAAGAATAATATACTATAATTTATTGATTGATTGGGTGAATTACAAATTAATATTTGGAGTTGGTACCATGCAGGTCTGATAGATCTGAGTTCCCTTTTACTACTTGGGTTAGCCTGGCACTGGCACCCACTCCAAATATTCATTTAACTTAAGATAAAAAGGGGGTTATTATTTTTTACTTGTCGGTTGTTTAATTTTTTTGTTAAAAGTTTTTGTTGTGTTACATTGCTGTGATAGAATTTCATTTATTTAGTCTTAAGATCCGAAGAAAGGTCGTCCTTCACCCATAAACTATGTTTTATCAAGTATATTTTCTAAACAAACCAAATTGCAATTTCTTTGCCTATATTCAATAATTGTTCATAAATAATTTTGAATAAAAAAAATAGTACATTTTTTTTAATAAGCTGTTATTATTTCATTGCTCACATAAAAAATGTTAAACATAATTTAATTCTGATAAAAAAAATAAAGGATACTTTTGAATAGACATTCAGGTATGTCGGAGCTTAACTTGAGAATGGCGGTGCTAAAAATTTGGCTGAATGAATTTGTTGTATTTAAGAAGAGTGAGAAAAACATGTATGTAAGATAAGACATTTTTGGAAAATGCAAAAGTGAATTGCATTTTATAAAATATTGGGAAAGTAATATTGTATTGTAAGTACCTATTGTGCCCATGCGGCGCCGGGGCGACGCTAGCAAAGAATAATAATTTGAATGATTTCTACGGTACGGTACCTAATTACTTTTAATTTACTAAACAAATCTTTGCATGTCGATTTATCGGTTAAACAAAGACAGCTAGGTAGTACCTAATGAAATACGCAGTCCGAACAAGATAATTTGTCAACATTAATACTCGCAGTTAACATAAAAAGAGACATTATCATAACATGTAGACATAAAATATGTAAGAAACACATAAGTACGTAGGTACGTTATGTTAAAATTCCTAAAAAGTAAAGCAATCGTGTAGTAATCAAGATTCATGTTTGTTGCTCTTGGTACAGATAATCACAATCTCTTAAATGTCGGCTCGGCAATTTCATGCTATAGTTAAAATAAAATTGGTGGTGTCCTAGATTATTTCCACTAGAATACTAACATTTTTAAAAGAATGAGATTTTACAAAGAAGCCGAAAAGTTCCGAGTAAGCATCTTGCTCTTTTTTAAGGATAGTGGCTTAAAGTGATTCATCCACTTAAATATTCTTTGAAAAGTTTATAATTACATGTACCTATGCGTATCATTGATTTACTTTTCAACCTTTACCTGTTTTCTTCGTTAGGGTACGGCCAGAGTGCACTCAGATTCAGATTCAGATTCAGATTTCGAAAACAAGCGCGAGAAATAAACAGTGTAGTCGAAGGGTACGGCCAGATTGCACTCCTGATTCAGATTCAGATTCGGACTCAGAAAACAAAGCGCGAGAAAAAGCAGGCAACCTGCTTAGACTACACTGTTTATTTCTCGCGCTTGTTTTCAGAATCTGAATCTGACTCTGAATCTGAGTGCACTCTGGCCGCACCCTTAGATTATATTGACGACCTCCGTGGCCGAGTGGTTTGTACGCCGGGTTTCATGGCTGCCGCCAACTCGAGAGGTCCCGGGTTCGAATCCCGGTGGGGGCAGATGTTTGTGTGATGAATATGAGCATTTGTACTCCAGTCATGGATGTTTAATATGTATTTATATAAATATACTTATATATGTACAGTGTATGTATTCTATCCGTTACCCTAGCATCCCATAACACAAGCCTTATAGTGCTTACTTTGGGGCTAGGCTAATTGGTGTGTGTCGAAAAGAAAATATTGCTCCTTGGTGATGATGGGGCAAATCTGTACTCCGAGTACAGACAAACTCTCTTTTTAGGTTTGGCTATATCATCTCTAAGTAGGCAGTATTACGATAGTGTATTTATTTTGAAGTTAAGATATCCTTCTTAAGTTTCGCCTGCGCGAAATTGTTTGTTAGCAACACTGTAGGCGGTTTTCGCCTGCACTTTTAATAACGGTAATGTTATCTTTGTAATGGGCGGATAATGCGAGACGGCTTGCACACAAAGGAACCGTACCGAACTATATTACTAAAGTGAGCAAAAAACTTCAGTACAGCCTGTTGAGAGACGGACGGACAGCCAGCCGAGATTTATTAATAGGTTATCGTTCTCTAACTTTCGGTACGGAATCCTAAAAGCAGTGTTTCTGGTTAAAATGGCTTTAGATAGCAATCTTGAAATGTGCTCTTGAATATAATGTGGCCCTTATGATGCGCCGCGGCGAGTAGGCCCGTTTAGATCTGCGTGCTCTCACGCGGGTGCATTTGGTTGCAACACAATGTCTGTCGTCTGAATGAGACTGGTGGCGAAATGTTGATGAGTAGAGTAAGTAGTATTTGTCTCATACCTACCTGTAATACCAGGCCCACTCTGTACGCTTTGTCTCAGTAATTATTGGTTATACTTACCTACCTAGGTACTTACGGAATGCGAATGCGGTAGGTTATAATTGAGATCGAGAATGGGATTCCTATACTTAATTGGACTGTTTCCATCAGGTTTATTTAAACATGGTAGGGCTTCTATTAGAAAAATATTTGGATTTTGGTTTTTGATTTGCTCCTTGGTGGTGATGGGGCAAATCTGTAGGTACTCCGAGTATAGGCCAGCTCTTTTTTCTCGTAGTTAAGTATCCTTCCACGCATGTTTTTAATTTCTTAAAATATGTTTTTATACAGTATTTATTGCATCATAGTTGGTAATTAAAGAGATTTTTATATTTTTCACGAACTTATTACGTACGGGTTTGGGTCAAAATTTAAGGTGCTTATACAGGTTGCACCGCCTGTCCTTACTATGGAGGTATTGTTTTAAGTTTTAACAATGTAACTTCAAATGAGAATAAAGGAGAACGGGCAGAAATGTATGGGAAATGTACTCACTGATCAATCACAATTAGCTAGCCCACAGCGAAATAAGACTTGCCCCCATAGTAACAAAATGATAGTCATAGAAGCGCTATCTAACGATATATAGATAATTGACTTCATTGTAGATACCTATTCCACATTTATGTGCGTAATTTTGTTATTTTTTTTTGTATTTGTAATGTATTCAACATAATGCATATTGTTTTGAGTAATAACTATAAATAAATAAACTATTTACTTACGCTAAGGTACATGAAAACAAAAGTTAAATCAT